TAGGAACAAGTGCCTTACTAGTAGTAACAAGTGCCTTACTAGTAGTAACAAGAAGCTATTAGGAACAAGTGCCTTACTAGTAGTAACAAGTGCCTTACTAGTAGTAACAAGAAGCTATTAGGAACAAGAAGCTACTAGGAAACTGTCAGGTGAAGCTTGCGAACCTGGCGAAGCGAACCTGGCCCAGTCTCGCCTGCACCCCGCTCTGTCCGAAGCAAAGCTTTCCTGACGAGCAAATGCGAACTCACCTCCTTGTGTTGTGTGCTTTCACCTCAACATTTTCTGAACATGCTTTGCTTTCACCTCCTTTCAATGCCCGCAGGGCTGATGTCAACCTGGCGTGCACTCACGTGACTTTACAAGTTACATACAATTTACAAGTTACAATGCTCACCACTGGTTCAAAGATGATTACTTTTGCAGCGAACCCACCAACACCTCTTGTTGCAAAGTTTCTGGAGCGTCCTGCGAGGCTAGAAGCATGACAAAGTTCATGCGAGCGACTTGACAACCGTTAAGACTTGTATGTGGCGGATCCTTTGATGACCGTTGAAACTTGGTGGACGACCATAGGAGCAAGGGCGCTACTAGTAGCTGTTGGCATCACTACTAGGAACAAGAAGCTACTAGAAACAAGTGCATCGCTTCTAGTAACAAGTGCCTTACTGGTAGTAACAAGGACGCTACTAGGGGCTCCTGGCCTTACTAGTAGTAACAAGAAGCTACTAGTAGCAAGGTGCCTTACTACTAGTAACAGGAAACGCTATTAGGTTGGAGGCCATTCGCTGGAGGCCTTTTCAGTTAGGTTGGAGAACAAATCTAGGAACCAAATGTGCTGAACAGGAAACCCCTGTCGGTCCGGTGCATGGACTGCAACCACCCCAAGCAGCTGGGTGGACAGGATCAACACCTGAGCATCAGGCCATATACTTCAGATAGTGCCAAACTTACCAGGGCTCGGCAGGCTCGGCCCTTCCTTTCTTTCCTTTCTTTTCTTTTCTCGTCGCTTTTCTTTTCTTTCTTTTCTTTTCTTTTCTGTCCTGTGCTGTCCTGTCCTGTCTTTCTTTCTTTTTTTCTTTCTTGTCATGTTTCTCTCTTTTTTCTTTCTTTCTTCTCTTTTGTTGCTAGCAGGCTCACTTCGCCAAACGCACCAAGGCTTGGCACGCTTTCGGACCAGCGACCGTCCGTAGGCGCTGTTGCCGGTACACCGTGCTACGTTTGGCTGACTAGGAGCAAGTGCATCGCTTCTAGTAACAAGTGCCTTACTAGTAGTAACAAGAAGCTATTAGTTAACTCTTGCTTCGGTCGCGTCTTTGTGTCGACGGTCTTTACGCCATCCGAGCAGCTGAAAGGGAGAACGAGAAAGGGGAGAAAGGCCGTCTTCTCAAAGATGTATGTGAAGTACTGAAGGTCGTACCGAAGGTCTCCATCAAAAGGAATTGGCAACCTCGGATCGAGGGCCTCTCCTGGCATCGCTACTAGGAGCAAGGACGCTACTAGGAGCAAAGGGCATTGTGCCTTTCAATGTCGAAATCTGCCAAGCAACTTACACTTGTTCAGCATGTTCCATGCCAAACAAACTGATTGAGCCCTAGTGGCTGCGGAAAGGACTGCCGATCTCTGGGACTCATTCAAGAGAAACCGAAGCTAAAGACGGCCTCCAACCTACTAGCCAGAAGCGTCATGAGCAAACTCCGAAAACCGAAAACATCCGAGACATCAAAAAAACAATCCCAAGGATTCCGAGGATCCCAAGGGTCTTCTTCTTCTTCGGCTTTGGCTTTGGCTTGAGCTCAGGCTCAGTGGGCGCGGCCTCGGCACAGCGATCCAACCTAGTAGAGATGGCCTCCAGCCTAATAGCTACTAATAGCGTCCTTGCTCCTAGTAGCGATGCCAGGAGCCCCTAATAGCGTTATTGCTCCTAGCAGTAAGGCCAGGAGCCCTTAGTAGCGTCCTTGCTCCTAGTAGTAAGGCCAGGAGCCCTTGCTCCTAGCAGTAAGGCCAGGAGCCCCTAGTAGCGTCCTTGCTCTTAGCAGTAAGGCCAGGAGCCCCTAGTAGCGTCCTTGCTCCTAGCAGTAAGGCCAGGAGCCCCTAGTAGCGTCCTTGCTCCTAGTAGTAAGGCTAGGAGCCCCTAGTAGCGTCCTTGCTCCTAGTAGTAAGGCCAGGAGCCCCTAGTAGCTTCTTGTTCCTAGTAGTAAGGCCAGGAGCCCCTAGTAGCGTCCTTGCTCCTAGTAGTAAGGCCAGGAGCCCCTAGTAGCGTCCTTGCTCCTAGTAGTAAGGCCAGGAGCCCCTAGTAGCG